ATATCAAAAGATATATCAAACCAGTTGCATATCCTTTAAAAGGCTAGCTCTAGAATTTATTTGGCAATTTTACGCTCAGTAATTTGTCCTTACCCTGAACGGTCAGATCTCGATATCCTGTCGAAATTAAACGCAATGTGGTCAGCTGTCAAATCGTTCGCAGCTAGGAATTTCGAAGTGCGTAAACAACACCTAAGCTACAGACGTCGGCAAAAGAGTATCTGGTGCTAAGTATAGACCGATCGGCACTCGATATGCTCAACGTCGCACCTGTCACATTTTCCTGTCAGGGACTTTATTGGCCGTCCCAGGTTAGGGTGACCTGCATATCACGGTCCGTCATTTCAACAAACAAAAACACATCCGCGATGGTGACTGACTGACTTTCCACCCCACCAGGACATCACACAAGCGATAAACACCCTATGACACAAAGTGCCATCATGCGGATGAGGTTCGCCGTGGAGAGGTCCCAGAAACCGCGTTCAGACAATTGGCCATAATTATGGCCTGCCTATATTGCGGCCCCTGGCAAAAGCAAGGGTGGGGCTTCGATAACAAAAAATGTCGTCTTAAAAAGGACAAAACTGGGTAGTAGTATTAGCGAGTTCTAGGACGTAAAGGCCGTAGATATGCTATTTACCACATCATCCATCGCGAGCTGATTGGTCTCTAGAATCATAGGTCTAGCCTCACATGCCGATGGGCCACTGGTGTATAAGTGGCTCTTTGCTTTTACTCGAGGCAGTTTGAAGTCCAAAAGCTTCAGGCCAGATTGTAAACGTTTAGTCGCGTTTAGCTACCTGATATGTGTGCCAAAATTAAACGAAACACTTGTTCTGAAGCAAGCATGCACTGCAGACGTCAGAACGCCGTAGACAATCCGACAGACACTCTATTACTTGTGGTTACCTTCCATAAAGACATAGGTTGCCCTTAGAACATTTTGGTCATGACGTTGTGTCACGAGACTATGTTGTCTAGTAATAAAAGACACTCTGAGGTGATATATTGTTGTGATGGTGCTCGCATTGGTCTAGCGGGTACTCCGCAGCTCCAACAACCATCCAGCACCACTTCAGGGATGAAGCAAATCCAGTATTTGGTTCCATAGAGTTTCCAAAGATATTTCAGGACACGACTCGGCCAGACTTCCTTACCACTTAATAGCCACCAGACTGGATAGGTTCACAGTCAAAACAAAAACACAGTATTGACATAAATATGATAGTACAAAAATGCACACAGAGACTTAATTAAAGTGAATGTGAAATACCAGACACCAGCAAATGTAAGTTCAGAATAACAATGCATGATGTAATAAATTCCAACCAAATATAAGTAATCTCTATGGACTGACACAGAAAAAAACCCAGAATATTATGACACCAATAATATCTTAGCAAAATGCTAAAAATGACACAATGCTCCCAAGATTATAACAGCAATGGACATGGAACAAAGAATGCTGTTCACAATGTTCCAGCATGTGATCCTGTCAGTGATAGATTATGGAATTGGAATGCTCACCATATCAAAGAGTCAGCTGATGAAACTCGAACGCATACAGAATAAAGCCTTGCGGGTAATTCTTGGATGTACAAGAGATACCCCGGTAGTATGTATGCGATATATACTGGCACTGCATACTGTTTGCAGATAGGCTCAAAGTTCTGCAAGCAAAGTCATATCTCAGAGTAGCTGCACACAAGAAGCACCTCTTGCATGTAGCCCTGTGTAGATGTAGGGGTCACAGACTGAAATGAGAAAGGTCTTGGATAGCGCAAGCTGAAGACACAATCAGAGTTGTGTGCAGGCTTGATAAATGTGTGCGAGGTGAGGAGTGAGTCAGTGTCTGAGAAAGTTTCAGACTTGTGCAGGGTTCTTATTATTTTGGGACGCGAGTGCAGGGATTGGCCAGCTGGCTCTGCAGAATCAGAAGTTCTACAAATGATTCATGATAATTCCCGTCCAAGTGATGTGATTATCTATACAGATGAGTCTGTGTTGAGGGCCAGACGAAGTGCATGGTGGCTTATAGCAAGAGCGAATGGACGTCGCTTAATGCAACAAAGCCTGGTATATGATTTCACAACGTCTAGTTTACGAATGGAGGTGGAGGCAATTACTGTTGCTTTCCGCTGGTTTAGGAATCACATGTACACACATGTCGTGATTTTCACTGATTCACAGAGAATGTTGAGAAAGGTGGAGACAGGTTTGCTCCGTGCAGAGTGGCAAGCATAACTTCAGAGGTCGTGGGTATTTAGTATCCTTTGAAAATTCTATACAGGACAGTGTGTTGGGAAATGAGCAGGCAGATAGCCTAGCCGGTTCTAATTGATGTATGACAAACTAGACGTTGTAAGGGCTACACTGATGATGTAATAAAGTATTAGTAAGCTCGTAACATGAACTGACCGGTTCGCTGTACTTCAGGTCTTATGTACTTATCATCAAGTGCAGAGAATGGTCTAACAGCTCCTCTCCTCAGTCCAAG